CCCCTGCTGGCTTTCCTGCTGGCGCTGCTCTTCGCCCTCGACGAGGTGGCCGCCGTGGCCGTCCTGCTCTGCGGCTGCTGCCCCGGCGGGAACCTCTCCAACCTCATGACCCTCCTGGTCGACGGAGACATGAACCTCAGGTGGGTGGACGCGGGAGGCGGCGGGGAGACCGGGAAGCAGGCGGGTGGGTTGGGGGGGGACCCGTCGTGGCTCCGCTCTTCTGTTGCACCGAACCGCCGTCGGACATGCCACAAGTGTAGCGCCCGCCGAGCGGAAGAGAAGCCGCCCCCGCGCCGGCCGATCCTGAGGGTTGCGCGGCTGCCAAAACGGGGAGGCGGATCTTGCTGAGGAATCGGGAGGAGGACGGTGACGCTCCCGGGAGTCCTCGACTTACGTTGGAAGTTACAAGGGCACTGAAAGAGAGTGGGGGGGCAGCATCCCCCAGGGTCCCCTGATTTACATTCGGATGCTTTGACGAAGGCCTGGAGGCTAAAACAGACGAAGAACGGCTGCAGGACTTGGGTCTGGCTAGTGTCACAGGGGTAGGCAACCTTGGCTCTTTTATGACTCGTGGACTTCAACTCCCAGAATTCCTGAGGCAGCATGGCTCAGCTTGGAAACCTCTCCCTTTCCCCCTCAGCATGGCTGGCTCAGGAATTCTGGGAGTTGAAGTCCACGAGTCATAAAAGAGCAGTGGTTCTCAACCTTTTTAATGCCGTGACCCCAACCGGTCGTAAGTCGAGGACTAAACCGGTCATAAGTTGAGGACTAAACCGGCCGTAAGTCGAGGACTACCCAACCGGTCGTAAGTCGAGGACTTTCCCTGCCCGGGAGCGCCGCGCATGCGTGGTTCCACCCCCTGCGCTGGCCGAGGCGTAGCTGGCAAGCGGCAGAGACAGAGCAGGCCGACCACCAGCTGGCCCAGCCCAAGGGAGGTAAGGCACCCGCCGGAAAAGGGGGAAAAAATGGCGGACAGGCTTGCTTGGCGACCCCCGTGAAATGGTCGATCGACCCCAAATGGGGTCCCGACCCACAGGTTGAGAACCACTGGGCTAGTGACAGGGGTAGGCCACCTTGGCTCTTTTATGACTCGTGGACTTCAACTCCCAGAATTCCTGAGCCAGCATGGCTCAGCTTGGAAACCTCTCCCTTTCCCCTCAGCATGGCTGGCTCAGGAATTCTGGGAGTTGAAGTCCACGAGTCACAAAAGAGCCAAGGTTGCCTACCCCTGGACTCTAGTGTCTAAAGAAAAGAAGAAATAGGGGAGACATGATAGCGGTGTTCCAGTATTTGAGGGGCTGCCACAAAGAAGAGGAGGTCAAATTATTCTCCAAAGCCCCAGAGGGCAGGACGAGAAACAATGGTTGGAAACTGATCAGAGAGAGAAGCAACCCGAAATTCAGGAGAAACTTCCTGACAGTGAGGACAATTAACCAGTGGAACAGCTTGCCACCAGAAATCGTGGGCGCTCCATCGTTGGAGGATTTTAAGAAGAGGCTAGACAGCCACTTGTCTGAAATGGTATAGGGCAGTGAGGGCGAACCTTTTGGAGACCGAGTGCCCAAACTGCAACCCAAAAGCCACTTATTTATCGCTGGGTGCCAGGTGGGCGTGGTCCAGTGGGTGGGCGTGGCTGTGGTGGTCATGGCAGATTGGGTGGGTGTGGCCAAAGTGGGCTTGATCACCTTGATGTTGCTCGTGGGGAGGGACGCCGGGCAGGGTTGGGGGAGATCCAGGGGGTCTCTGGCAGGTGGGGCGGTGGGCAGTAGGCTCGTCCTGCGGGGTGAGGCAAGGTAAGGCGAGGCAGGGCAGGGGTGCCATTGTCACAGGGAAAGGTGAGGCAGGGGCCAGGGCGGTTGCTGCCTGACACCATCGGCCCCTGCACACAGAGGCCAGCGAGCGCATGGGTGCTGGGATGCATCCGGCCATGTGGGACCTCGGCGAGTTAGCGGGCGGCTGGTTGAAGAGGGACGGTTGCCATCTCCGGGGCATGGCGCGCGTGCCCACAGAGAGGGCTCTGAGTGCCGCCTCTGGCACGCGGGCCATAGGTTCGCCACCACTGGTATAGGTTCTCCTGCTTGAGCAGGGGGAGCTGGACTAGAAGACCTCCAAGGTCCCTTCCAGCTCTATTCTATACATATGGTTCATATTTAGGACGGTTGCAGCGTCCTGGAGGGGGTGTCATGTTATTCCCCTTTGCCCCCTTCAGACAAGCAAAGTCACTGGGGAAGCCAGATTGCTTAACAACCTCGCTTGGGCGATTCGCTTAACAAATGTGGCAGCAAAAGTCGTAAAATGGAGCAAAACTCGCTTAATAAATCTCACTTAACAGTATGGTGTTTTTTTTTGCGGGGGCTGAATTGTGGTCGTAAATTGAGGACTACCTGTGAATGTCTTTCCCACATTTTCCAGAGAACAAATCCAGGAACAAGATGCCTAGGTACCGGGAGTTTGGGATAGGAGCTGTCTGTCCGAACAAGGATAAGGTTGATGTTTCTTTCAAAAGCGCTTTCCCACCGGAAACGCATCCCATGTTGAATACTGGAAGCGCCCTGCCAAATATTACCCAGAACGTCATGGATTTGGGTTTTGCAGACTTTATTCCTGGCCTCTTCCCTTTTCCCAAACAAATGAAGTATCAGTGAAAGTAGGACAAATGAATAAGGGAGGAGATGCCCCAAATATATCCCTATACAGATAAGAAATCTTTCTCCTATTATCTATTTTTTGGTGAATTGCTAAGCTCGTGCTTCTCTCTCCTGTTCTCTCTCTCTCTCTCTGTTGAAATGTTTTCTTTCTGATCGTTTGTGGTTCACTCATGTGCTGTTCTTCCTCTCATCTTCTTCTTTTATCCTTTTGGGATGGGAAAACTAGGATTGAAATATCTTGAATGGTAAATGGTTTTAAAAAAAAAAAAGGTTGGGAGACTTCCAGCGTGATTGTAATGATCAACCACAGTCCTACCAGATGGAAAATAATGTTCCCAGAGCTGGTCGAGGCAAAATTATTCTCTAAGGAACAAGAGGAAGAAAAAGCGAGTACTGGAAACGGAGACAGTGTCCCTCTGTAGAACCTTCACCAGAAGGGTAGGGGTCGTCAAACTTGGCCCTTTTATGACTTGTGGACTTCAACTCCCAGAATTCCTCAGCCAGCGTGCCTGACTGAACAATTCTGGGAATTGAAGTCCACAAGTCATAAAAGGGCCAAGTTTGAAGACCCCTGCTATAAGAGATGCAGTGAAAAAGAAAACCTTATCTGTTGAATTTCTGCCTATTAAATTTGACCCAAGGACTTTTTTTTTAGCTTGCTCTTCTATGTCACTTGGACGTGTAAAATAAGGAAATGTATGAATAGGCAGCAGGACAGATCTGGGGTGGGTAGAAACTATTGATATTAGAGAACACAGAAAAAAAACTGGCAGTTTAGCAAAATCCTAGTTTAACATCCTGGTTATAATCACTTGACATTGCAATGAGGAAATGTGAAGATGCCATGTCTTAAGACGGGTCTTCAAACTTGGCCCTTTTATGACTTGTGGACTTCAACTCCCAGAATTCCTAAGCCAGGCACGTGTGCCTGGCTGAGGAATTCTGGGAGTTGAAGTCCACAAGTCATAAAAGGGCCAAGTTTGAAGACCCCTGCAGTAGGGCAACTAATTTTTGCTATGAGGGCCAATATTAAGCATTGGTTTTGAGCAAAATAAGTTTTTTTTCCCCTTTGAAAAATGGCTGCCTCCTCTCCTTCTTTGCAGAGAGCACTGGAGTTGGACATAGGTGGCACAGAGGTTACACAGAAAAGGAAACCCTAGTTCTTCTTTACTAGCTCCCTCTTGCTAGTGAGAGCAACTGGGCCATTCA